GTGTGTGTGTGTGTGTGATTGTGCAGCAGAAGGGCCGGGCTGGGGGCCTGGGTGGAGGGACAGCACATACAGGATGGGGTCTGGGCATGCAGCATGCTAAGGGTGAGCCAGGCTGGAGTCCCGGGATCAGTGCGCAGGTCCTCTGGGGGTGCCCTGCCAGTAGTGATGGGTGAGGGTCCCCACCCCAGCTTGGTTGGCACATCAGGCTCTGCACAGGAAGCTTAGGCCCCAGGCCCCCCCGTCAGAGCCCTCCACCAGGTCCCCCTTCGCCGGGACACACACCGAGGCTCACGCCTGAGAGAACGTGTTTTATTTGACTCGACACAGACTAAGAAGCGAGGACGCTGCGTGTGACTGGTGGCGGCAGCGTCTCCTGCGGGCGCCCGGCCCCTCGGCCGGGCCCAGCGCCAGCTCCCGACCCACCGGCCGCGGGCCTCCTCACTGGACGCCTAGGAAGCAGGAACTGGCAGAAGCGACAGCTGGAACCCCCACGGGGTCCCTCGGGCAGCACCCCACCTCTACCTGCCCCACCCACTCTGGGCCACCAACAGCCGGCATCCAGGCGGGGCGGGGGAGGGGGGCTCTCGGTAACAACCAACCCCACCCAAAGCACACCAAACCCCGGGTCTACAGAGGAAGCCTCTCCACGGGCGCGCACAGCCCGCGCGGAGCCCAGCCGCCGCCTAGCAGGGAGGGGCCGCGCCAGGGTCCCCAGGCCCCGGCAGCTCCGCCTCCGCGGGGCCGGCACACGTGACGCGGCGGCGCCCTGGGCCGCCGGCTCCTCGGCCGTGCGCGTGTCCGCCCCGCGCCGCGGGCTCATCTCTCCTTCACGTGGTTGTGAGCCGCTGCGGCCGCGCCGGTCCCCGCCGCGCCGGCGCCGCTGCACAGGAGCCCTGTGAGGTCGTCCAGGACGGCGGTCTCTTTGGGGTCGAGCAGGTTGAACTCGCGGACGAAGAGGATGAAGTGCGCATAGAGCGTGTTCAGGTGCGCCTGCAGCTCCAGCGCCAGCGTCTCCTTGAAATGCGACGAGTAGATGTGGGCCAGCACGTGGAACAGGTACCTGCAGATCTTCTTCACCAGCGCCTCGAAGGACGGCGGGAACTCGCGGCCTGGGGGCGGCGGGCGGCGGATGCTGCTGCTGCGCTCCCACCACCAGGCCCGCCGCCACAGCAGCCTGCCAAGAGGAGCCACCCCTGCCTGCCACAGCCCACCCGCCGCGCCACGAGGGGTCAGCCCTGTCCCACGGGCCGTGCTCTTGAGCGGGCCACGCAGGCGCACACTCGCCCAGGCCAGCGTGACCCTCCCCATGGCCTGACCACCTGCCGCGTGGGGCCCTCCGCGAGGACATACCGTACTTGGTGGGGAAGACGTCCTCGTCGGTGACCAGCTTCTGCACGGAGCTCATGACGAAGTCCACGTACTGCGGCGCCGTGCATTTGACCTTCTTGCCCCGCTCGTCATACCAGTAGTACTGTCTGCGAGGGCGGGGCGCGCTGTCGCACAGCCGGCAGAGCACACCCCAGGCCACCCGCCCAGCGCCGCCCCTCCCCTCCAACGGCGTGTTAGACTCGGTGAGGGGTGCTACCCTCCTGGGGTGGGGGTATGGCTGGCGCAGACCATTACTCACGTGCTGCCAGCAGCCATGGTCTGGCACGTCTCCCCTGTACAGAACTCGGAGATGGTGCTGTACTGCAGGTTGATGTGGTGGAAGAACGTGGTGGCTATGGGGTTGGGGGGCACAGCCATGAGGACCCCACAAAGCCTCTTCTTCTTCGGGGCCTGCCACCCCCACCCCCACTCCCCTTCACCCCATTGGGGCTGTTCAGCCACCCCGTCTCCCTTGGCACCCTGGCTGGACCAGCGCCCCCCTCCCTCTGTGTGTGCCCTGCCCCCCACTACAGTGCCACACCTAACTGCAGTACTAGTCCCTCCCAGGCCCACCAGTGTCCCCCAAGCACTGTTGCTGGTTCAATGCTCCAATGCTCAGTGCCCCCGTACACACACACACACACACACACACACACACACACGCGCGCACGCACTGTTGCTGGCCAGCCACTCGTTGAGGTCGATCTCCCGCGGTAGCACCACCAGCTCCTTGAACTCGAAGTCGGTGATCCTGGATTTGGTGTGCTCTGGCTCCAGGTAGATCTTCTTCTCCTCGGGCGCCGGCTTCTTTCCGTTCGGCTTGGCTTTGGACTTCCTGCCCAGGAGGGGGGAGAGGAAGGTCACCCACGCGCACCTGGGACGGAGACGCGACCCGGGTCAGTCAGCGCACAACAGAGGGCCAGCCCGGTCCAGGGGCCTCCGTGGAGACTCTGCCCGGCCGCCCTAAGGACACCCCTAGCCCTAAGGACGCACCACGTGGCTGTCCCCATACCATGTGACTCAGGGATGGGCTGGCAGACAAGGGCCCCACCTACCCGTCACCCCCATGATGGACAGAAAGACGGAAGGCTCCACCCCTTCCCTGCATAGCCCTGGTACACAGCAGGCTGGTGGCCCATGGTGGGCTCTGAGGACCCCACGTGTGGTCCCTGGGTCAAGCAAGGTGCAATAACAGGTACTGTTAGCTGTTAGCTGCAACATGTTGTGCCCTCTCACGCACACTTTACAAGTGCTAGTTCTCATACAGTGAACATCAGCATGCTCCCGGGGGGTGGGGGTGGGGGGATGCTGAGAGAGGCGGACCCCTCAGGACCATGAAGTTGGGAGTCTTCACTGGGGCTGCAGGGCAGGGGTGCAGCCAGAAAGGGGGCTGGGGTCCTGACCTCACCCTTGGCTGTCCCCTGAGCCCTTCACACCTGGACCTAAGGGTCTCCTACTGTCCCTGCTGGGCGACAGGTGCCCTCAGACCTTAGCTTGTGCCTCCCTGTGGGGCCAAGTCAGGAACCCCCCAGCTCACCCTGGCTGGGAATCACCATTCTTCCTGACTCAATTTCTCCACCTGTCTCACCTATGCCTTTCAGGGCAGCCACTGACCTGTGCAAGTGCCATCCCTCACCTGACCAGGCTGATGAGGGCATATGTCCAGGGTCTACCAGGGACTAGGGCCCAGTGCCACCAACCCTGCAGGGACAGCCAGCTCCAGGCAGGCCAGGGGGACCTTGCCGGGCCTGACCTTGTGTTCCTCTCTGTCCTCGGTTTTTAAAAGTAGTTAACAGTTTAGTTAAGAGAAAGGACGGAAAAATGCTCCCGGATGCCAGGGAAATTCTTCTCACGGGTTCTCCCAGTGAGCTGGCCTTAAAAGGCCATGTGTACACACAGGCCAGGAGCACCAGGCACTGTCCAGACCGACCGGGCTGAGCTCTGGGACCACGTGGACACCGACAGAGGCACGGGTCGAGCCCTGGAGCTGCATGGACAAAGGCTACCTCAGAGGCCTAGGAGGCCTCCCAGCCAGCCAGGAAGGCCCCTTGGCACAGTGTGGACATCAGGACTTCGATAGCGAGTCCTTGGTCAGCTATGGGAAACCCATGGGAAGACCCACAGGGACCAGGGTCTTGGGGCCCTACCGATGCCTGTCCCTCAGATACCTCACCTTGAGCCTCTTCCCCATGACCCCAGGCAGCATGAGCCACAGCTTAGAGGGTGGCCAGCCAGTAGCCACCAGTAGCAGGCTTCTTGTCCCCGCCCAACACAAGGACCCATGCAGGACACCACCTTGTGCTGGGTCTGTCCTGTCAGTGGGACTCCCCCATCACAGGTGCCCTGCCTGCCTCCTCCCCCATCACAGGTGCCCTGCCTGCCTCCTCCCCCATCACAGGTGTCCTGCTTGCCTCCTCCCCCATCACAGGTACCCTGCCTGCCTCCTCCCATCACAGATGTCCTGCCTCCCCTCATCACAGGTGCCCCGCCTGCCCCATCCCCATCACAGGTACTCGCCTGTTCCTCGCTGCCCCATTACAGCAGTTGAGGGACAGTTGGATGGCAGTGGAGGAAGTGTCCAGCAGGGGAGACACCCAAGTGGGGAAGTGGGCAGAGCTGGCAAGGGGCCCCCCAGAGGTCGGAGGTGGGAGTGGAGGGAAGAGGCCCAGACCCCACTGGTGCTGGGGTTTGGTCCAGACCACCCAGTTTGTTGTTGGCCCCAGGGGACCCCTAGGTGATGTCACTCTCTGCCCTGAGAGGAGGGACAGCTTATGGTCACCTGGCCGTGTGCTGGTGGCTCCTGGCTGCTGTTCCCACTCAAGTCCATCCCTGACCACATCAGGCCACCCCCACCCTGTTCACTCCTAACCACACCTGGCTGCCCCCACCCTGCTTGTCCTTGACCATGCCTGGGTGCTCACTGCCACAGTAAGGGTGGGAGAGAGGAGCTGGGCGAGTGCTGGGAGCCCACTCTGCCAGGTGTCGACATAGTCCAGGGACAGCAAAGGCTGCGCTCTGCGTCTCTGAGATCAAGGTCCCAGCAGAGCAGCCATCCCCGCTTCCCCCACCTGGGGCCCACTTCCACAGCAGGGCGGTTACCAGCTGGGACCACCCTGCTCACTGACCAAGGCTCCGCCTGGACTGCTCCTGGGGTGCCCATCCCTAGCCCCCCACCCCCGAGGCAGCAGCTGCAGTGGGGCCTGAAAACTGATCCCTAACAAGGTCCTGCTCCCGCCCAGCAGTTCGCATCCACGCTGTCCTACCAGCACTGTCCACACAGGGCCCCTGAGGCTAGGGACACACCCAGTGCTTCTGTGCACGGGCAAGCGTTGGGTCAGCATGAAAACAAAGCGTGCTTTCAGGCTCCACGAAAGGAGAGGGCGTGGCAGTGGGCACAACCTAGGCGGGGGAGACAGTGACCCAGACACTCAGACCCCAGGGCGCCTGGAGTGCCGCCGCCTCCAGGAAGCCTTCCCAGATCACCCTGAGGCTCCCTCCCACTGCCGCAGAGCAGAGGGCACACTGAACATGCACTGTAACCAGCACCCTGGTGGGCACACTGCCAGCCTGCCTGCAGCACCCCCAATCTCAGGCCCGGACAGAGGGCTGGTGAGGTGAGCCTAGAACCAGGTGGAAGGAACAGCAGGCATGGAGCTGCCCAGAGCCAGAACCCAAGACATGCACTTTCCAGAAGCAGCCAGCAGCCTCAGAGGAGCTGCCTGCCCACAGGGCCCCTGAAGGGAGACCTGGGTCCTGGAGACCCAGAGAGCCGGGCTTAATCCCATTTATATACCATGATGGGGACATGACACACCAACACGAAGTGACCAAGGGGACAGTGACAGGGCGAGGCGCACTCCACTGGGCATGTTCAGAGAGGTGGCTACTGAACGAACACCTGCAGCTGCAGCTAGCATGCGCCCCCCATACCCGGCCCCAGCAAGGCCAGCCCTACCCCTGTGCACCAGTCCAGGCTCCCAGGTGCCACCGCCAAGCCTTCCTGTGCTCACATACATCCCACGCTGTGCCATCTCACACACTGGTGCATGCACACACCACACGCACCCCACCAGCCCTGCCAGACCACCGCCAACGGGTCCTGGGAGCCTGTGCTCTGGATACAGAGGCCGCAGGAGAAGGGGCCCAGCAGCAGGTCAGAACAAGGCCAGGAACCTTCCAGAATGTGTTTCTCTGACACGGAGACACAGATGCCCACCTTGCTTCTCTCTGAGACCCCAGACCTTTGGATGCGAGTAGTCACTGACCAGGACATCACAGCATGCCCGCTGGTGTCGAGGGACAGCAGCAGGGACCACCTGGGGCCCTGCCCAGCCTACCCCATGCATAAGCTGACTGGGAGGGCACTTGGCAAACAGCCCGACTGGGCAGACCCAGGGGCTCTGAGAGGGCCTTGCCATGGCACACCCGGCCACTACCACCAGCCTGTCTCATCGGCACACCCTGGCCTGGTGCCTGCAGATAAGGGAGGGACAGAGGCATGCGCAGCCCGCCCCGCACTACCACCCCGGGCTGGGCCGTCCATCACCTGAGCGTTCTGCCTACCGCCTGGAGGACCATCTTGAAGCTGAGCCCCGATCTGGGGGGTGGGCCGTGCAGCGCCCGGTCTGTGGGCAGGGCCCCCTGGTCCCCAAACATGGCTGAGAGAGGGCAGAGGGCCTGGGCCAGCAGCGCCAGCTCCTTCCCCGAGTTGCCTGAAAGTGGCCCCTGGGCTGTCTGTTCCCTGGGCCGTCCCTTTCCTCTGCCCCAGCCAATGAGGATGTGGTGGAGGGCAGGGCTCCTCTGGCTGGAGGGGACAGGCAGCTGCTCTACCCATAACTGAGGAGCCGGACTACAGAAGTAGGGGCACATCTTGGCTAGCCACCAGGTGTCAGGTGGAACCAGGAGGTGCTCTGAGCCAGAGGCTGACCCCAGTCCTGCAGAGCAGACAGCAGGTTCCAGGGACAGCGGGGCCACAGACGACCCAGGTGTCAGCCTCGGGGCAGCCTGAGTCCTGTCTACAGGCACCCAAGTAAGTGGCTGCAGGAGACTGGAGAGTGGCCTATGTCCACCGACCTCCTGCAGGCATAGACTGGCCAGGGCTGGCTTGGGTCCTGGGTGCACACTTGGTGAGGGGGCTTGGAAGATGGGGGTGAGCCAGCCAGGCCTGTGGCTTCAGCACACCCCTAACCCCACTGAGCCTTCTTGCAGACAGGTGCGCACGGCGGGTTGGGGCCATCGGCCGCTACCCAACTCGAGACCCTTTCTCCAGCAAGGCCCCCCTTGTGATATCAGCATGCAGGAAGCGAGTTCTCGTGCTGAAACAAGGCCCGAGCATGCTATTCTTAGCCCCTCTGTCCACTTCCAAAATAGACCCAGCTGCCCCACGGCCCTCGAGCCACGTGATGCCCAGGTGGCAGCCCTGTGGCCCCTTGGAGAGTACAAGACCAGGCTCACGGCCCTGGACTTGCAACTGGCTCGCTGCATGCCTGCGAGAGACTGGCACTGACCCGCTGGCTCCACCTTCCACACCAGCACCACGGGGCGCCAGCAGCCCCTCTGCACAGTGGCAGTTTGCTTGCTCTGCCACCCTGACAACAGGGCCCTGAGTGAGGCCTCGAGCCACTGCCAAACGCCACGAAAAACACCCACGCTGCAGAAGGCAAAATAGAAGGCCCGCACTACCCCCAAATACCATGTGTGTGCCCCCAAGACCTCAGCTGAGAACAGAGAACTCTTGGGGGAGGAGGGCGGGATTCGGCAGGACACGCAGATAAAGGGCCCATCTCAAATACCTACAACGCACAGCAATGCCTCAGCAAGATGCACACGTCGATGTAAAAACAGACAAACAGCTCATCAAGGTCAGCGGCTAACACACCCGAGGGCAGCTCTGCTCACTGCCACCTGAGAGATGCCATCAAAGCAGCCACGAGCCCCCACCTCACAACCCCGCCAGGCCCAGAGGAAGGTGCAGAAAATACCAGATGCTGGAGAGGCAGTGGGAGATGGGACCCTCACCCACTGCTGGTGGGACCGACCATAAAACTCGACACCCGCTGTGGAAAGCTGTGTGGCGCCTCCTCCCCAAATGGGAACAGAAACACCAGGACCAGCCATCTCTCCTCAGGGACGCCGGGAGCAAACACAGAGCAAAACACGAGCAGAGAGAGATCCGTGCGGACCCGGGGTGCACGCAGCACTGTACACAACAGCAAGGAGCTGGGAACCCCCTCCGTGCCCGTGGGTGGAGGGCTGGGCAGGTCAGCGCTGATGCACACAGACACTCCCACTGCGCACCGCTACAGAGTGGTGACGACGATGGGACCGTCCTCCACCTGCTGCCATGGACAAGGCATGGGGCTCTGTACGGAGAGATGCCAGCCGGTCCCACAAAGACAAATACCTATGAGGCCATTACACACACAAAAAAGGGGGGTTTCATAGCCAAAGGGACAGACTTGGCTGGCTACAAAGCAGAGGGAAAGGGGGTGGGGGGCAGAAAGACCTATAAATACACACATTAAAAACAAGAATGGAGAGGCAAGCGCACACACAGGGGAGCCCTCAAAGGTGCGAGGAATAACCCATCTCGAAAAAAGCTGGGACTGAGAGGAGCACATGTACTCGCGAGTGTACACAGACACATACGCACACAGACACACACGCACACATACAGACATGTACACATACAGACACATATGCACATGCACGCGCACACACACACACAGGAGACATGGATGCTTGGCTCCGACATCCCACTGTCCAGCATCCAGGGCAGAGCAGGGCCTGCACGAGGACTCGTGTCGTCCTAGTCTGGGGCTCGCGGAGGAGCTAGACCTGAGAGCCGTGCGAAAGGCACCAGACTCCAAGCCCTTGCTTTCCCAGCCTACGGCCCAGTGCACCCGCAGCAACCCCAGCACAACCAGACTTTCCTGGGCTGACCTCGGGCGGAGCAGGGCTGCTGGCCGGGACGCACGTGGGCACTGACGCTGCCCCAGCCTTCTGTGATGCAGGCTTAAGAGGACACCGCAGCCCGGAACCTGCACAGAGCCCGTGGACGTCACGCACACTTACAGGTACACTGGTGGTGAAGCTGTGCACCCTGCCCTAAGCGAACACTGCTGCTGCCTTCTGGTTCACCGCCAAGTTTCTAGGGCGCAGGTGCGGGAGGCTGCGTGTAGGAGTTGGGGGGTGGAGCTGAGTGCGCAGGGAGCTAGGCAAGGCAGGCAGTGGGGTCGCCGTGTCAGCCACAGCCGGGGACATCTCTCGCCCCGGGAAGAGCTCTCACAGCTCACGCCCAAGTCTGAAGAAGCTACACTCCTGGGGGCAGTGGTCAGGTCTTGGAAACAGCACACAGGTCCCCAAGTTGGGATACGCTTCCCCGTGGCAACCAGCTCGTCTCCTGCCCTAGTATGAGTTCCAGCATCTTCGCACGACAACCAGGAGCCCACCAGGGGCGGCCCCTCACCCTCTGGACATGGGGACATGCTCCTGTCCACTCTTCCAGTCAGCGCTGTCCCCCAGCCTCACTCTGATGTTTGAGGGGTGCTCCACGAACCATGGAGGCAGGGCAGTGCAGCCAGCCAGCTCCTGGCAACAAGCTTCCCAGCTCGTAGAAAGCACCTGGCTGATGGGGGTGCTGCAGCTCCCTAGGCACCAAGCCGTCAGATGCTCCACAGCCCCTCCCTCAGACCCCAGGCTAGGTGTGACCATGCCACAGCTACAGGGACCACACAAGAGGCCAGCAGGCGACAGGCTAGCACACAGCTGTTGCCTCTGGGGAGGGCACAGGTGGCTTCCCAGTTGTGACAGCTCCAGTGTCTGAGCCCAGCCTGCTGGGCTGAGGGAGCAAGCTTCCCCCCCACTCGTGTCCCCCCACCCCAACTCCCAACCCCAACAACACAAGTCCACAAGCTCACACATGCCATCAACTGCCCGCAGCCCTGCTGCTGCCTGGCTACACCTGGGGGAACCTCCACACAAGTGGTCAGGTGTGCAACCAGGGAGAGGATCTCAGGAGCCATTGGAGAATCAGCTAGTGTCCCAGGCTCTGGGGTGAGAACTGTGTCCTTCCCCCGCCCCCATGGGCTACCCAGGGGCCACTTGGTGCATGGGGCCTGGAAGGGCAGGCCCCCGTGGGTGCTAAAGGGAGCCAGGGCGCCACCTCCTGGACCACAGGTCTGCAGGCCAGGAGCTGGCCACAGGAGTGCACCTGTGTTCACATCCGACCCCACAGGCCCTCGTCTGTAAGAGCTGGGCAGGGGTCACAGCCACAGAGGTGGTAGTGTAGGCCTGCACAGCTCTACCACCCCCATGTCCCCAATCCCACCACATGGACACACGTAGGTGTGGCAGAAATCCAGGTATACACAGGTGTGGACAGACACACAAGGCATGCGGGTAAAAATGCAGGAACACTCAAGTGGGGCATGCACGTGTGTACAGATACACAGGTACACATAGGTGTGGATATATGTGTAGGGGCATGCAGGGATGGGTAGACATCAGGCACATAGGGGTGGGGCAGATACTAGGTGCACGTGGGTGTGAACAGTTCTGTAAGAACCTGTGTGTGCAGGTGTGGGCAAACTCCCGACAAGCGGGGGAGGGTCAGCCAGCTGCCGGGTGCTCTGCCAATACCCACCCTGGGCTGAAGGCCTGAGTGAGGTGTGGCTGGGACTCTGGCTACATGCCCACCGAGCACCTCACGTGCGGCCAGACGGCCAGCAGGGAGGCAGAGGCTGCTGGGTTCCTGCTCGGGTCTGGCCACTGGCCACTCCTGCTGCAGGAGGAGGGCATCCGGCAGTGCCAGGCCTGAGCTGGCTAGCAGGGTACCTCCTCCAGACACCCCCACTGCCTGGAGACAGAAAGACCTGCCATGCAGGGGCTTCAGCCACGGCTGAGCCGCCTTTGACGGCACCACAGCCTCGCCCACAGGAGGGTGGGAAGGAGGCCAAGGCATAGGCCGGGGCACCACCACCACAAAAGGGGGTTGGAACAACCACCCGGCAGGCCACTGAGGGCCGCTGTGTCCAAGGCCCCTGCAGGGTGTCCCTGAGAGCACGCCCACAGGGCTGGGAAGGCCCCGCCCAGTGTTAAGTCACCAGGCGGATGCCGCTTGGTGCCCAGGAACACAAGTCACTGTGGGCCTGCCAAGTGGCTCTGCCCTCCCAGCGGGTATAAAAGCCCAGCTGCAGAATTTAGACCAGGCTCAGTCCCAGCAGCACGGGCACGGGCATGGCCAGGAATGGGAGACGGCCAGCCCCAAGGAGTTGTGGATGAAGCAGCTAGCCTGGGACCAAGCAACCCACAGAGCCCGTCCCAGCCCCAGGATCTATAAGACCTTGAACCTGCCCAATCCCAGTCCCAGCCCCCACCCAGTGTGAAGCCCACTGCATGGTCTGTGGCCCCCTCCCCGCCCCGCCCAGGAGTGAGGAACAGAAGCCAGTGATAGTGCTCCACAAGGAACCCAGGGGGTGCCCAGGGCCCTCTTGGAGTAGGTTTGCAGGAGACCGTGTGTGTGTGTGTGTGTGTGTGTGTGTGTGTGTCCTGTTTTCTCCCCCACCCTTTCCTTCTGAGGGTTTCTGCCTCCCCAGGTACCTGCATCCAGAGCTCACAGCCTATAGGAACCCTGTGGCCCTCACGGGGTATGTTCTTGCTGGACCCCATAGCACCCAGGGTACACATCCCATTGGATCCCCAGCCCCCCAGGGTACACATCCCCACTCGAGCCCTGGTCTGAGGGGCCATCATCCTCTGAAGAGTATAGTGTCTCTTCCAGAAGTGGCCCTCTGGGGGCTGGCTGGCCAGCCAGCAGCTGCACGGGGAGCCCTGGGCAGCAGCACCCCT